GTCTTTGCAAAAAATACCGTTATCCAAAAAAGACAGTGATGTATGATTTTACAAAAATTTGACCCCCTGAAATCTGAATGCTAAAATGTAAAAATAATGTTACTGTATATGTCTATTTTGTTTTCTCTGAAAGGACTTTCATAATGTGAGCTGCCTGATATTTTGTTGGTTTACGGGTGTGGCCTTGGTATAAGCCCTGAAGGGTTTCTGTCACACTACATCACATTTTTTTATTTTATTCTATTGGTGTATTCTGAGTTTTTATTTTGATCTGTGAAAAAAAAAAAAAAAAAAAAAAAAAAAAAAAAAAAAAAAAAAACGTCAAATAACCGAGGATGAAGTCATGGTTGATAAAAAGGTTGGATGGAGTTTTTTTTTTCATTTTTCAATGGTTTACTGGTTTTATTCGGATTACTCTGAGCTGTAATGCTCTGTTCATGGTGTGAGCAACTTTGATATTGCTTTATGGCTAGGACCCAGTTCTCCGCAGGAGGAACTCGCCCCTGGAGGACGTTGAGATCCCACTCTTTATCCATGCCAGAGATCTTGGAGCAGATCTGGCTTTAGCGGTGTAGGTGCACTGCAAAAACTGATCTAAAATCTGCAAGAAAATTCTTAAAATAGGTGTATTTATCCAAAATTTGAGCAGATAGATTAAATATTCTGCCAACAGAATGAGTATTATTACAGCTGGAATAGATAGTTAGATTAATTTTAAATATATATAAATCACCTTATTCTAATAGCAAATTGTGTTACTTACCTCCTTGACTCCAGGAAAAAAATAGATTAAACATTTTGCAGTGTCCTCCAACCGCACAATCTAAGCTTTATTAGGGTGCAATCTAAAGGAGGAATCCATCTCACTCTCTGTTAACAGTTAGACTAGTTCAAAAATACCAGAAGATTTCTTCATATTTTAAGGATTATTGTTCATTTAAAAAGAAACAAATCCCACAGAATACAAACATCTGAGGAATATAGAAAGGCATTAATAGTTAAATCAAATCAACTATTATTTAGTGATGTCTACTTCCTTGATAACTAGCTTATACTTTAGAGACAGGATTATACACTGAAGAAACGGATGTAGCCGAGTTTTAAGAACCCCCTTTGTACGACAGGAGGGACTGTTGAAGTTGTTGATCACAGTGAAACAGGAAAGATGTGGTTTTACTCCGTTTTTTTTTCTCCCCCAGCGAGGTGGCCTGCCAAATGTCATGTTGATACATTCAGGTGACATCACCAGCGTTTGGGAATCTACAAAATCCCATCCTGGCTCAGAACCAAACTGCTGATACTGGTGGAAGGGAAGCATGGCGTCTCCTTTCCTCTCTGCATTAACAACATGCTAAATCTAGGCAATCCAAAACTAGCAGCTGAGATAAGGAGGGTATAAAGGATTTAACTCAACTGAACTGAAGGGTTTAATGTTTTCTCAGCTAATATGTCAGACTTCATAAAGATAGTAGTTGGAGGACTTATCACATGGAACAGGTTAGCCAATCAGAAACACAGTTAGCTGTTGTGACACTTACCAGCAGACATTATTTGACCATATATGGACTTTCCTTTTGGTGTCTGAGATATGTGTCATGCCGAGGATCTTTAGTAACTGAGGTCATTTTAATGGGTTTTATAGAAGCAAAACAAAGTGATGCAACTTTTTTTTTTTTTTAAGGTCCATGAATGCTTTGGCTAAAACAGAACCAGCTAAAAGTAAAGAGTCCTTTTAAACTGATGACCTGGTGGCTTGATCTAGATCAGAGGTCACACATTTGCGGACCAGGGTGCTAGTTAATCTGGACCCAGCCTGATTTAAAACATTTATAAATTACTGCATGTTGTCCGACAACGGTGTCTAATTTCACTTGTGCCGCTTCTCCTGTTTGTATGGTAAAACCATCCGGAGCGTCCGGCACCAGGCTGCGCGTGATAGAAATTAGCCAATGAGTTCTCAGTCAGTGTATCACATGGATGTATAAATAACTGCATTTTATTTCAGTGCTAAATGCTGTTTAATGTAACGGATTATAATTAAAAATGTCTCTGGACGTTTACTGATTTATCATTTTCTTTATTCGAACCCCTCTGATTTTTAATTGGTTACCCCTGATCTAGATGCTTTGAAGATTCATGGAAATTGCTTAAATTTTCAGCAGAAGGATCTTTTAAATAAACTAGCATAGCTTTATTCTCCTGTTTTAAAACAGAAGTGGCCTCTGTCCTGATTTCTGGTCCAAATGTCTCTTTCTCACATGGGTATTGATGCACTCACACCCATCTGCTGCAGATACTGAGCAAGATGTTCTAGATTATCCAGAAATCTGCTCTTTCAGCTCACTGCTCTCAGCAGCAGTTTCCTGCAGGTGAGGCCGTTTCAATGCAGCATCTTTTCTTTGAAGCAGATCTACTCCTGGGTTGTAGCCTCAGCCTGATGATTAGACTCATTGAGGAACTGCAGATGGACTCCTGAACACTGAAAGCTGGTAAAAACTTAATCTGATCAGATGAACAATAATCTGAAACCCATCTGAACTGGAAGGGCAAACACTGAGGCTGCAGTAGATGAGCTGATCGATATTGAAGAAAGCTTAAAATATAAGATGAGTGAAGCACCAAGTTATCATTTACATGCACTTCCTGTTTACTTGTATTGGTGCTTTCAAATTAAAACGCCACAAACAGCCTCATAAATACTGAACATGGGTGATACGGTTCTGCAGAGAGTCTCTGGGAGATAAATGTTTGTTAATGCACTGCGCTCTGAAGTGAAACAGCACTCTGTGTGTGTGTTGGTGTATAATTGACCATGAGAATGAATGTGTATTGATGCGTGTTTCCTCACATCCTTGGTAAAGGCCACTGGTTTGGCTAATGAGCCTCCACACGCACGCACACACACATACATCCATAGCGATAATGTCACTGATTCTGTTTTATGCTAACTTCAAACTGCTGCGGGTTGAGGGGGGGGCGGTCAGAGGATGCTGCGTGTGTTCATGCACGTGCACTGAATCGGGTGTGAATTTGTTGCAGCCATGATGTGAACCTCTCCTCCGTATTGCATCACCCTGAGCTCAGTTCTGTAGCTTCAGCAGGAAAAACTGCGGCTTCTCTCATGTTTGTCCTAAATTCAGTTAACAGTGTTTATTGTTATCCTTTACACCGAATTCCGTATATTACCATCCACTCTGAATACATGAAATTAAAGAGACATTTAATATGAAAAAAACTAAACTTTACAGATATAAAACAAGCTTAAAATTAAGACATAGAAAATAGACAAATATATAAACTCAATTTTTTTTAAGGTAGAAAAACTAACAGTTATGAATTGTAAACAAGTGGAAATGCTGCATCACAGCTGTAGAGCAGTGGACATGTCATGGTACAGCATCAGATGGGTCAGATTATGAAGTCCTGCTCTCTATTAATGGTGTAGGAGACTGAGATTGGTCCCTTTTACACTTCAGACCTTCCCCTGAGGGTGGAGGTGGAAACGGCTCATGTTGGGGAGGGTGGGGGGCTCCTTGATAGTAGAGGCAGCTGTCCTGTGAAGGTAGAGCCTCTGCAGGAAGGGTAGTTGTTTCCAGGTGATCTTTTCAGCTTTCTTCACCACCAGTAGCTGCAATGGAACACCATGCTGCAGCTGGTAGCAGTGCACCTGTAGAAGCTGATGAGGACTTTAAGAGACATCTAAGCCGTCCTCTCAGGAAGTAAAGCAGCTGTTAAGCCTTCCTGACCAGCTGTGCGGCGCTCATTTTCCAGCTGAGGCTGCTCAGCCTCTCTATCTTAAGCTCCTGCATCATCAGGGGTTAATGAGGCCTCCTCTCCCTCATCATGTCCACTATTTCCTCCGTCATTTTGTCAGTAGTAAAGTTGAGGTTTGCTTCATTCCACCAGCCTGGCCACCTCTGCACCACTTAATCATGATATGGGTGAGATCTACCAGCCTGTCATTATTCAGGCAGGAGGGTGGGTTCCTTTAGGAGGGGGTGATAATGGTGGTTGTTTTAAAACTGGAAGATATGGAGGAGAAGACATCAGCCATCTTTAGGAAATGATCTTAGCGAGTACATAGTATGTGATGCTGTTCAGTCAGGCCCTCCGGTTGGGGAACCTCCTGACCTGTAACGTCGCCCACATGTGCTGACTCATCCCGTCACATATTCAGCATAGCCTTGCGTGCTGACAGAATGTATTTAGATGTGTTGCTTTTTTACCACTCAGCAGCGGCCCTGCAGAGCCAGGTAACAGGACAGGGTCATTGCGAGCAACTAAATCAGCTGAAACTCCAGTAATTATTTAAACTCCCTGCAGAAACATTTCTGAATGTGCATCTTTTTACAAGAGAACCCAAAGGAGAAGTTTAATATCACATTTCTAGATCTTTCTATGCTTGACAGTTGATTCTGCTTCATTTTCAACCCATTTCATTTTGTTCTCCCCCCTGTTTTGTTTTTTACACATGTTTAAAAAACCTGATTTCCAAATTACTTTCATAATCAGTGACACTAAGGACTTAGGGCAAAGTTTTCTGATTGCTTCCAGCCAGTCCCTGTCAACATTTTTCAGAGGTTTTTGTCAGGATACCAGTATTGATCTTTAGATATATAATAAATGGCACACAGCTTTAAGACTAACCTCTGATTTATGTGTTGGAACAAAGAAAGGTATAAATAAATATAGAATTAGATGATTAAAGAATAAAGGTGCATAAAGAGGCATCATTTCCTACATTAGTTTCTACGTGTCAGTAGGATCCATGATGCTGTGGGCCTGTTTCCTTTACAAAGACCTTGGGAGCCCTACTGGATGGTCTAAAGAGGTAGAACAATGGTAAAAGATCCCTCTGGGTGCTCCATCCCGCCAGGATGGACACGATATTAGCAATCGTGGGGCTGATCCAATCTGTGTATCAACAATATATGGGGCATTTTTTAACCTGAACCTAATTTTTACATGTTTTCATTACTTTCTGCATGTTTAGGTGTTCTCATGACATTTTTAGAGCAACATGGATCTAACTGTTACCTCTGTGTCTGATGAACATAAAAACTTGTCAGGCTGTTCCTGGGCAGAGAGTCAAGCTGATCTGGACTCTTTGTTAAGCTTGTAAAAGTGAAAAACTTTCAGTTGTAGGAAAATCAGAAAGTTTCAGTTATTTTTTAAAATATTTTCCTTGCAGTTTAAGTTTTAAGTTTATCTCCATCTGTTTGTCTCTGTTCGTTTTCGGTTTCTGTTTGGCCAGATTTCACACATTACATCTGCTTTCAGTTTGTCACTTCTTTCCGTCCCTGTCTTGTTACTGAAGATGATGTGAACCAGCGCTTGGCTCGTCTTTTTCTCATATATATATATATATATATATATATATATATATATATATATATATATATATATATATATATATATATATATATATATATGACAGCTAATCTCTTCAGTAAAGAACTGCCTCAGTGACTTTAAATGTTAATATGAACTTATTAAAAATAGCTGAGAAGTAAACTAATTACCCAATTAACTAATTTGGGATTAAAAACCACATATTTAAATATTAATTTTGTCCGTAAAATTATTAGTAGAAATATTATTAGTAGAAATTATTAGTAGAAATATTACATTTATTTAATTAAAAAGTAAAATGTATTGTTCTTTTTTTGTAAATATGGTATTTCTAAAAATGTACTTATATATAAAGAAATAGAATGGCTGACTTAATATATTCTTTTAATTATTAATGTATTTTCACATGTATATTCTTGAAATATCTTTTTCTTTATTTTTTAAATGTTTTTGAGCAATCACCAAACACATTTCCTTCAAAAATACTACAGACGATTGTTATTGCACAATGAAATTCGTTTATGGAGAATTTTAAAGAACTTCACAACATTTAGTCGCCTCCTTTAAGAAGTTTTAATCACATATTTGTAACTTTTGATTCCAGTTATTAAGCTAAGCTGAATCTTTTGGCTTCTACAGGGCGGATCGCAGCATTTCATTTCATCGTGTTGAACATTCTGTCCAGACCCAACTGGGTCACTGGTTCCACACAGTTAGTGAATTTATTCACCCCAAAATCTCGGCTGGGCTCAAAAGAAAACTGGTTCCCTTTGTTCATGAATTATTTACTGATAAACAACGTCTTATTGAACATGTCGAAATCTCATTTTTATTTATTTTTGTAAGCATCAGGGGGATTAATGTTAGACATTATTTTTCTGGAGTTTGTTATTTTTCTACAGTATGTATATTTATGACGATTTCTAAATGATTTTCTTGGAGGTCTTCAGTTGATTCTTTTTAAGGTGGCTTTTTTGTTCTGGAGCTGTCATTTCTTTGTATGCAGATGCAATGCAGGACCAAAAATCCAGTTTTTTTTATAAATAAAAAAAGTCTTCTTCCAACTTCCATGACGTTCCCACCATTACTTCGGAAAAGGTTCCACTCTGAAAAACCTCTGATGGAAAATGTCCCATATGTGTTCATATGAAAGAATACTTAACCAGCTTTACTGTTTGGAAAGTCAGATCAAATCTTCAGAGAGAATGTGAGTAACAGAAGGTGAACAGTTTGATCGTTTCTTACTCCGTCTGTTCCTTGTTAAGCTCCACCCGACTGGCACCAACAGTACGCCAAACCCAATTGCAGACTGTGACCGCCTGCTCCCAGCACTCAGAAAAATCATATACAGCCATAAAAAAGCAAGAGCAGAGCAAATAAAAACAGAACAGTTTATAGTCAGGTGCAAAAGTCCTTAAAAAATGTGTCTCACACTCCTTGCATCAGAAACGGACACAAAATTACAGAAACAAGATAAGAGGAAACCAAATTTAATGAAGCTGCAAAGATGAAAATAAGCAGCTGGAAGTAAAACAGATGCAAATCAACTGCAACACCAACACTAAGCAGCCACAATATCAACAGGAAGCCTATTCAGCTAAAGATAAACAGGTCTGTGTCACAAACAACAGGCAGAACAATCAAAAGCTGATCAAAAACTGTAACAAATGAGGAGTAAGACTGATCCAAATCGCCGGGAAGGGGAAAAAAACCTCAAAAGAGAATCAGAGGAACAGCTGAAGGGTGAAGCTCTCCTATAAAAGGAGGAGGACTAAGATGGAATCACCAAAAACCCAATAACAGACAGAACATTAGGGATCCTGAGGCCCATTCCATGTTAAGCAAACGTACACACTGGTACATCTGAAACATGCTGGGTCAGAACCCGAGTGGAACAACGGTACTGATCCCTTCCAGAGGTTCAGCTCTGCCTCTGAGGCTCTTATCTCTTTCTGATTCATATGTGGAGCAGGTTTGGGGTTAAGGCCTCATTACTATGGTGGTTCTGAAATGTCCAACCCAAACTCTGACCTCTGATCCCTGCTCTGTATGTGCTTTAGGCCGACCAGCAGTATGCCAGCAGTGTAGCTGAAGATCTAAAGCGCCTGTAAGTACTGTATCATGATGGGAAGCTGTTGCTCTGGTAACCGTTCTCCTAAGAGTCTTGTTTCCCCACTGACTGATTCTGTTCCTGTCCTCCTCCCAGTTTTCCAGCTGAGATCCAATCTGGCTTGCTGGAGGTGGTCTCTCCATCCGTCCATTTCTACCCAGACTTCTCCAAACTCAGAGAGTCCTTCGGAGACCCAAAGGAGAGAGTCCGGTCAGTAAAATAGAACTTTTCTCTAGTGGAAATATTAGAGCTACCTGAACATGGATCCCAGATGGTACTGGGGTGCAGGTGTGAGCTTAATGGCAGCGGAGCGGTCATTTTGTGCCCTACGTCCCAGAATGCAGCACCTCTGCCTAATGTGGACCTCTGGAGCCGGATCAGACTGGTTTCCCGAGATCCACTGATTTTTTTTTGTTGAGAAATTTGGACACTGATCCTTTTCTTTCCCTTATTTCATGTGATGAACCTCAGGCCTTTCTGCTCTGATGGGTTGGAAGCCTCAGGACACAGAATCAGAGACGGGTTTGTCCTTTTAGAGGTGTGACAGATCGTGAAGATGTCTGCTAATGCAGACAGCTAAAAGTGGAATGAGACCGCAGGGTCCAGACGGGCCCAGACGTTAAAAGTACCACAGCGCCGCCTCGTCTTCACGCCAACACTGCTCTCCTTGTTCGGACTGGGGCTTCAGCTGCAGACTCTCTGAGATGAAGTGCCACACAAGGCTGCTTCTGTTAACTTTACTGTTTCCCAATAAAGCCTCTTTTCTCCAGATTGTTTTTAAGGCCTCGCTGGGATTATAAACAGACTCCTAGTTGTAAAGAAGCCTTTAAAGCACGGCGTTGGCAGTGAGCTTCAGCCTGCAGGCCCCGTTTATTTACAACACTGTAGTGTTCATCACATGCTACATAAACTCTTAGTTTGAGTTTATCTTTGAGATGTTCAGACTTTCCTCTCTTTCGCCTCCTGCTGAATGTGCGCCAAGTTTGAAAACTTCTTTTCTGTAGCTGCAGGAGATTGGAACAAATTATCTTCACCTTCAGAGGGTGAAGACTATTTTTCAGACCTTTTATTTTTGCCTGAAGGGTTCAAAGGCCATACAATGTCCAAGGATGGGGCTAATCTTTAGGCAAACCAGCTAATGTGTGAAGACATCCCTGGAGGGTTTTCAGAAAGACTTTAGAGGTGCTGATCCCTTTAGATTTCAGTGTTTTGATGAATCTGCAGGTGTATTTTACTAACAGATGTGAGCTCTGTGCTTTTGCAGAAACGGAGAAGATCGGAGGCCTTCTGAGCTCCATGTTTGCTAAGTCAATATATCGCCTTGTCTGTAAACATAATTATTCAAAGCGCTGCTAAATGCTCGGCTCTGAGGGGAAAGTCAAATCTTGTACTGCTCCAGTTAGTTTTTTCTCAGAACGGATTGAAGGTTTCACTGGAAAGCTGTGCATGATGACCTGCTGGGTGCGGTTCCCCTCCGGTTTGATCTGCTGCACGCAACCAAAGCCTGGTCTATGACAGGCCCTTTGTCCTCGGCTCATCCTACCAATATGAATTTGCATCCTTGGAAGCTCACATCAGTGATGTTACTCATGTTCATTCATCTGTTTTAACACAAAAGGCAGCTGCTGTTACACCTGAACGAGTGAAATGCTTCTGTAAACCAATCAGCTGACTGTTTCATCCTCCTCAGGTGGAGGACGAAGCAGAACCTGGACTACTGCTTCCTGATGATGTACGCTCAGTCTAAAGGAACGTACTACGTGCAGGTAATAAAAACTAACTGAGCTTTCTAGAGGAATGAAGAGTGTTTTTGTTGACCAAAGCAGGAAAAGATTAAATTAACTGAGGGATGCAAATCATCTAATAATTCAGCCTTTGTTTTAACCATCTCAGTGAGCACATATCAGTTTACTCATGCAACCTTTTGCACATATCCTTTTTTGAAAAAAGCTGTCAAAAGTACAGTAACTTGCAAAAGTATTCAGCCCCCTTGAATTTTTCAACATTTTGCCACATTACAATTGTCATTTTTTGTATAAAGAATCAACAAGTGGGAGACAATCATGAAGTGAAAAGAAATTTAGTGCATATTAAACACGTTGAAAAAATAAAAAATTTGGGTGTGCAAAATAATTGTAATTATATTATGTCTCTATCAGCTCTGCCTATGAGAGACTGACATTTTTGCACATTCTTCCTTGAAAAATAGCTAGAGCTCAATAAGGTTGGATGGAGTGTTTGTGAACATATTTTCCCACATCTTTCCACAGAATCTGGATTAGATTCAGGTCTGAACTTTGACTTGATCATTCCAACAAGTGGATATTTTTATTTGTGAAGTATTCCATTTTAGATTTTTGCTTTATGTTTTTTGATCATTGTCTTGTTGGAAGATAAATCTCCATCCTAGTCTCAGGTGTTTTGCAGACTCCGACAGGTTTTCTTCCAGAATGCTCCTATATTTGGCTCCATCCATCTTCCCATCAATTTTAACCATATTCCCTGTCCCTGCTGAAGAAAAGCAGGCCCAAAGCATGATGCTACCACCAACATGTTTGACAGTGGGATGGAGTGTTCAGGCGGATTAACTGGTTTACTTTTATGCAAAACATAACATTTAGCATTGTTGCCAATAAGTTTTTTATTTCTTATTTCCTCTGACCAGAGTGTTTTCTTTCACATGTTTACTGTGTCTCTGGTGACTTTTGGCAAACTTTGAATTCGACTTTTTATGAATATCTTTAGGAAATGCTTTTGTTCAATAAAGGCCAGATTTGCACAGTACTGATTGTTGTCCTATGGACAGATTCTCCCACCTCAGCTGTAGATCTCTACAGTTCATCCAGAGTGATCATGGGCCTCTTGGCTGTATCTCTGATCAGTCTTCTCCTTGTTTTAGCTGACAGTTTAGGAACGGCCAGGTCTGCGTGGATTTGCAGTAGTCTGCTACTCCTTCCATTTCTGTATTATTGCTTGCACAGTGCTCCTTGGGATGTTTAAAGCTTTGTTTCCAAAGCTTGATTTGGAAGACTTGATTACACACAGGTGGATTCTATTTATCATCATCAGTCATTTAGGTTAACATTGGATCATTCAGATATCCTCCCTGAACATCTGGAGTTTGCTGGACGAAAGTAAAGGGACCAATTAACTTTGCACGCCCCAGTCTGTCGTTTTTTTATTTGTTAAAAAAGTTTAAAATATTCTCTTAATTTTGTTCTCCTTCATGATTATGTCCAACTTTAAAAATTAGAGTTGGATGGTAGTTTTGCATAGTTGATGTCCTGTTTTTCATCTAGAGAAAGAGTTTCCATCTCTTAAACACCTTGAATCTTGTCTTTGTTTAAACTTTGCTGTCAGAAGGTCTCACTCTGAAAACCTTTCCAGAGTGATGAGTTGGAATATCTGTGATCCATCTGCATCTCTGTTTTTACAGTTAGAGGATGACATCGTCGCTCGTCCAAACTACTTCACCACCATGAAGAACTTCGCTCTGCAGCAGCCATCGGAGGAGTGGATGATCCTGGAGTTCTCCCAGCTTGGCTTCATCGGTGAGTTTACCATCGTTAGCCTCGGGTAAGAGAAGCAGAAATCCTTTATTAAAATGCAAATGTGTTTCTGCCTAGAAATACATTTACATTCGAAAGGAAGAGATAAAAACAGAAAAGTCCCCCCAGTCTCCCGAGCTTTTTGCTGTCGTCTGTTAAAATTGCAGAGATAGACTGAATTCCACTTTCCAAAGCTGAGCAGGAACTTTGAGCTCAGCAGCTATTGGTGGATCCTTCATGAAGCCACTCAGCTGCAGAGCTTGTCTCCAGACAAGAACTAAACCCAGCAGACTTAATTGAACATTAACCTGCATCTGATGTGTCAGGTTCAATCAGGAACCTCCTACAAAGACTCAATCAGCTGACATGCAGGTGCTTCACGTCTGGAAGCAGAGGCTGATCCGAGGACAGATGTCTCCAGAGGCTGAGCTGGTGAGGTCTCTCTGAACAAAGAGATCCTCAGACAGTAAAACGGTGTTTCATTCTGGCTCCAAGCAACTTTAGAAAAGATGAAGCTGTTTTATTACAGCATCAGAAGGCTGCTTCACAGCCTGCTGGTTTTCCCAGAAATGGGTGGAAAAGCCTCTGAAATGAACTTTGATTGATGCTGAGGAGCCTGACATTCAGCGACTTAGTCTGACGTGTCGGACAGAACTGCAGATGCTGGATTCAGGAGACTGATGGACCCTCAGGACTCTAAACAGTAATGAAAAGCTCACTGTTGAATTAAAAATATTCAACAACATCGCTTTCACTGAGGCGTATAGCTCTGAATCAGCCGTTAGTACCCGAACAGGAGGTGTCTTCCTCTTTGTCTCACCTGAGTCATTTCTGTCCAGTGGGAACTGTCATCTCAAAAGTCATTCTTCTCTTCATTTCAAGTCAGACACACAAAGGATTTTCTTGGGGAGAAGCTACTTTAATAATAAAAAAGATATTTGAATTGATTTGCAAACTGTTGTCTGCTGTTTTCCCAACATGTTTCACTTTGCATATAATAGTTGAAACAGATGAACGTCACACCTTAAGCCATCTGGAAGTTGTCTGAACCATTCTAAATAGTCTGAACCAAACTAGTGGAAGTTTTATCATTCTCTTCCTGATATCTGGACTAATTTCTTTGTATTTTTCCATGAACTCAACCAAGGAAGCCAAGAGTTTGACATCCTCCCCCTCTGGGTTCCATTCACAAAGCAGGTTTAACAAACTCAGATTTAAATCCTTAACTCTGAACTGATCTAGCCTAAGGTTGGAAACTAGCCTAAGGTAGGTACACTCAAAGTTGAGCATGTGTGTAACAAGTATGAAGAGCCATTATCAGTGGAGCACCGATTTGATAGGTCACCATGACAACAGGCAACAGGAAGAGCCTATTTCTCCCTAATGGAACTAGAAATTTTAATGCAGAAATGAGAAAACAAATTGGAGGAAGTGTTTAAAAACCAGAGAAACAGCTCTACAGCGGTTGATGCGTAGGCTTATATGAGGTGCTATATGGCAGGCCATTTAACATTCTCCTCTCTGTTTTTACATTTGTAGATCACTAAAATAGGATTCCTCCAGGTCAAAATCACATTCCTTCATTTTTCCAGTGGAAACTTAATTTCGTAAAGTAAAGAAAAAAAATGTACTAATAAGAATTATTAGTAGTTTAAATAGTTTTAAATATCTAGAAATGTTTATGCATTTTTAGTGGCTGTTCTGACCTTTATCAGCTTGACTGAATATGTATTTCTGATATCTGAAATGTTTCTTTCTGATCAAAATAATGCAAACTAAAACCATTAACAATAGGAATATGGAAATCTGAAGTTCATTTCTAGACATCCATAATGTGTATTTTAAATATTAAGAGTGTTTAAAATGTTAAATTTGACAAAAAAAATTTAAAATTCAGATATCAGAAATACCTATTCACACAAACTAATAAATATCTAAATGGTCTGCCATAGCCTGTTCTAATAATGATAACATTGCGAGGGAAGGTAGTTCACTGGTTAAATGATATTGGATCAATGTATTATATTTAGGTGAAATCTCATGGGTGAGAAGCGCACCTGGCAGCAGGTGAAGATGTATCGTATCGTATAGTATAGTATAGTATAGTATAGTATAGTATAGTATAGTATAGTATAGTATAGTATAGTATAGTATAGTATAGTATAGTATATGTAAAGTATAATAAAGTTGTTGAAACTGGAAGGACCTGTCCGTCATCTCACGGGGTTCCTCCTGATTTTATTTCTGTCTTCCACAGTAAAATAAATGACTGACTATGCCGTTGTTTTTTATAATGCTGTTATCACACATCATTGCACTCTCACCAATATGAATTACTTCTAAACATTTGTTAAAGAAATCAATGCTGCAAATGTGAGGACGGTGGATTTATGTGATATTTTTTTAGGTGAAACGGCTCATAAAGATAAATAAATATAAAGGACATCTATAACTGCTCTGAGAATCCTCCCCTTATATATACTTTATTCTCTGTGAATTAAAGGAAAAGTCCGGTCAGCAGGGAATCATTAATGGACTGATGAAAGAAAAGTGAAGTGTCATGCTCAAAGATGACCCTGCACATTTTGAGTATGTTTAGCTCAACCTACTGCTGTGAAGCGGTTGGCTTTAAGGAGAATGGAGAGAGAGGAAACTCAGAGTTTACTGAACAAAACCTGCTCCCGGGGAGAATGTTACTTTGGTAACAGAAACAAAGCTGTAACTGAAACAAACATTTTTTTTTTTTCTGAAACCAAAAAATTTAAAAAAAAAAAATGTAAAACTAGCTAAATACTAAAGACGAATTAAAACTGGATTAAAATTTAAAATCAGAATTAGAAAAAATAGAATAAAAAGCAATGAAAAAAAATAAAAAAGCAAAGAAAATATAAAAACAATTTCAACCTTGATATTAGGGCTGAAACAATCAAACAAATGAATTGCATTAATCATGATTCATTGATTATTAGTAATATAATGACAATATAATAATAATAATATAATCATCTACTAATTAAGTAATCGATTAATTGTTACCTGGAGAATAGAGACTTTAAAACATGCATCTCGAAACCCGCTTAAGGCAGTAATTATACCAAAATTGTAAAAGAAAAGATTTACATATTTTTCATTTAAGATAAAACAACCTTAAAATTGTGTAAAGTTTTAGATTTATCTGGTTTAATTCTGTAAAACTCTTCTTTAAGGAACCATTTGAACCAACCAAAAAGATTAATCAGTTAGATAAAGTTATGATTAGGTGCAGCCGTACTTGTATATAAGAATATGACTCAAGTCTTTAATGGCAAATTGAAGGGGTTTTAGTTATGGTCAAGAAACGTCCATGATATTTCGTATTTTATCCTGCAGTCAGAACTGTTCTGGTTTGTGTTAAATCCACTTCCGGCTTTCATTATCTTTAACTGCTTTGCAGCTCTGAAGCGCCTCTGCAGTGGTCTGATTCCCTCCACCCGAGGAGCCGCTTCTTCCATCAAACTAAATTAAACATTTTCAGTCTGAATTATTGATTCCTTTAATTGGAATGAAGAAAACAATCAATACGATCCTCGTGTGTCCCTCAGGGACAGACACGGGTCCAGACTCATTTCATTTTTATTGGTTTAAGTGGAGCGACGGATGAGAGTGAACTGTGCTGTTAAAGAATCATTAACCGTTAGACGGAGGTTTATTTTATGGATGAAATGAGTTTCGGTCTCTCTGCACGGTGACGCTGTCTGGACAGAACCCCTCTGATGTGCTTCATCTCTTTAGTGAGGATGATGAAACTGTTGCTCTATGCTTTAATATCCTCTGCCTTCGTCACACAGGCTTTGTTCTCTGCAAAGGCAGAAAATGTGTCGGACAGCAGGATGTGAGGAGAAAGTTCTTTACCTACATGATAAACCGGACCAGTTAAACCAGAACCAGCCTGTGCTCATATCAGTTTAGTTTAAAGTTTTGTCTGCGAGTAGAATTGAAAAGGTGTGTGAAAGGGTGGTCTGACCCAGTTATGTCAGAAGGACTGGGCCAAAATTCCTGCAACTTCCAGACGCTTTAATTACACTTATGTTTAGGGGCTCCTAAAGTGGGTCATTTCATTATGAAGTAATGTTTTTCATTGGCCCTAAAGGTTCAAAGCCCTTAAAGGATTTTCAAAAGTGTCTAAGTTCAGTAGAAAACGGCTTATGCTTAAAATTGCAACTATGAGATTACAGCTTTTTTTTTATTATTTGTTATATGATATCCTGTTTTTGTTTTTTTTTGTTTCCTGCATTTATTAGACTTAGAAACGGGTTAAATTCTTGCCCGCTGCAGCAGATTTTCAATGTGCAGAAAGCAGGACTGCGTAGGGCGTCTTTAGCACCTCCTGCTGATGAACCAGGAGCTGCATCCTCAACAGAAATTGAGTGAATAAAAACAATAAAAAGGTTGACATTTTTTGTTCTATAATCTATTTAAACTGGTCTTTTATAAGTGTTTCTGCTCTAGCAGCTAGCTCGTTGGATATCAAATGTGGTGGATTGACGATGGAAGGAGGAAGCAGAGATTAGCAGGAGGTGAATACGGATGCAGCCCGGCAGGAATCTCAGCTTGATCGTGTTGGTTTCTCTGCATCTTTGTGCATTTTCCCCTCAGCCTGAGTCTCTAAGGATCAAAATCCTCCCTTTCCTCCTCCCTGCAGTCCTTGGCTCTGGCCTCATCATTCCTCCCTGACCCCGAGTCGCCTGCAAGCGGCGGCTGCTTTAATAGATTCATCAGTGTTCAGCTGACTCACTGGATTAAATCACACAGGGGGGAAAGCTGCAGGGATGCTTTCTCTCTCATTCAACTGTTCTTGTTTGCTAAGTTTAGTTGAGCATTTCATCTGATCGGAGCTCTGGAGGCTCTGAACATCTAGTCTACCCAAGGCTGTTATGTCAACCCTGATCAGGGATGGCCAGACCCAGTCTGGGCCATGGAGCTCACTTTTTGAGCTCAGCTCAGTCCGACTTTAAAATGACAGACCCAAACCCTTCGAAAGGGAAATGCTAGGTTAATTTCCTCTCAGTCAGAGTGCAGTGCTTAAAAATAACATTTTCAGTTTCAAAAATGTTTTGATTAATTATCAGGAGCTCCAGTGTTTTAAGGTGGGTGACCTGATGACAGATTCTGTCTATATCTATAGAGCTTCTGGAGCTTTTTAAATAATGAAACTTTTTTTTTAGTTTTCCTAAAAATGTCTCCCTTTATAATTGTGCAAACACATCAGAACCGGATCCTATTGCTTTTCAGAATTACAGAGCGTAGTATAACATAATAAGTTTATTTCCAGCACCTTCAAATTTTAGTTTTATCCAAGATAGAAACTTGTCACCTTAAACAAAAAATTGTAGTTACCATTGGTCCATAATAATCCAGTGCACTGCAGTTTGAGATACTTCTAGCATCTTTAACCCGATAACTAACATTTGAGCCCAGCCTTTAAAAATAGATTAAGGTAAATTGCATTGGTAGCAATAATAACATTACTATTTTGATCTTAATCATGTCATGATCATTAGTTTAACATTAGTTTTTCCACATCTACTAATAATCATTGTCAACGAAAGACCCATCACTTTTAAATATTTAATAAATATTTGCCTGTATTGATATCTTTGTTCATGTCAGATTTTGTTTTTTGTTGGGCATTATATTGAATTATATTCCCTAGTCTGCTGGACAACAAGACATATGCAAGACAGACCACTACAGAAAAAGATCCGTCCTGTCAATATCTTACTGAAACAAGCCTTTATGAACGATAGTATATTATACATATGATATAGCATACTATAGTATAAAGTAATATTTTCTTGCGATTTAATTTTGAAAATCCACATTAGATATTGGTGAAACTAGTTAAGGCACATCTGGAGGTGTTTTACTGTCATTCTGAAATGAAAATATATACTGAAAACAAATAGTTTAGCAGCAACACTAACGCCAACTTGACACAACAAGTGACTCGGTGTAGAGATTTTTAAGGGCTTTCATTTTTAAATCCGTCATCAAATGTTGGTTAAACTTTGTAATTCACATCTGGTGGTGTTTTTTTTTTTTCCCTTCAAAAGTGAAATTATTCACTAAAAACCGTTTAGCAGCAATATTGACGGCAGTTTAGGTCAAAGAGTTTTTGCAGGGCTTTAATTTTGAAATTCTTCATCAGATCTGGATTAAATTTGGTGAGTCCCATATGGAGGTGTTCTATTATCATTTTTGAAATGATGGCACTCACTGAAAACAAATAGTTTAGCAGCAATATTGATAGCAACTTAGGTTAAATAGATTAGGTATAGGGATTTTTATGGGGCTTTAATTTGAAATTCCACACCAGATTTAGGTGGAACTTTGTGAATCTCATCTAGAGGTGTTCCACTTTCCTGCAGAAGTGGAGGTATTCACTGAAAACAATTACTTAAGCTGCCAGATTGACCGCAACTTAGTTCGATGTGACTTGGTGTAGACATTTTGCATGGCTTTAATTCTGAAATTCCACATCAGATCTGGATAAAACTTGCTGAGTCATTTCTGGAGGTGTTCCTCATTCCAAAGTGGAACGATTTACTGAAAACAAATTGTTTAGCAACAATATGGATTTCAACTTAGATCAAAGGGATTCTTTGTCTTGCTTTTGAGGTGCATTTATGTTGAAATTCCACCTGAGATCTGGATGATATTTGATGAATAAAACATGGAAGTTTTCTATTAACATTTCAAAATGGAAGCATTCGCTGAAAACAAATTATTTAGCAGCAATACTGCCAGCAACTTAGGTCAAAGAGATTATTTTTGTGAGGCTTTTATTTTGAAAATTCCACATTAGATGTGGATGAAACTTTATGGCTCACATTTAGAGGTGTTCTACTCTATGAAAAAAAACATGCACTGAAAACACACAGTTGAACATAGTTTAGCAGCAGTATTGACAGCAACTTAGTTTGAAGTGTTGAGTGTAGAGAATTATATAGTTGGTTCCCATCTTCCTCTGCAAATGGGGACCAACTCCTATGTAATTATAAATATACATTTCTAGGTCAAGGCAAACATAAAGATTGAGACTTTCAGTTCAAAGTGTTAATAAATAAACATATAAATAATACATCCCATTTATGTCAGTAAACCCCTGTAATTATCAAATGCTGTACCTGTAATGTACAATATATATATGATAATAAACTATAAGCACTGATCAGAGTGGAACAGAAAAACCACAATCAAACAGTGCTAAATGAATTTAAACCTGCTTTTATTAACTCCTGGAATCCTGAAAACAGTCTTGAAAGCTTTTTGGTTATTTTCCAACATATTTACCAATTTTTACCCAATACCAATTGATGCTCAGTACACACTCTCACCCACTGTTACTGTATGTGCATAAAATTAATTTTTTTCAAAATTTAGAAAACCAATATATATTTTCGTAACTCTATTTTATACCTAATACTAAAAAATTATCAGGAAAACTTTTAAAATTGTGCTCACAAATGATTTGTGTTGACGTTAACCACAAGCTTCTCATATCAACACCTTCTGATGATTTAGGTTTTTTAAGTCTTTATGATTTCAGATGAAACTTTATCCACTTAACTGCAAAGTTGTCTAAAAAGATTAAGAAAATGCACTGACTAGACTGACTAGTATGCAAATGTAAATTAGTATACTTTTCAGATTTCAAAATCTTTCAAATGTATACAATTACATTTCAGCTACAATAGTGTAAATGTGTTATGTACCAAATTAAAATAATTAAACACATCATGGGTTAAATGCATAATAATGCTCTGTAGTCCCAGCTAAAGAGGATGCTTTGGTTTGCATTATTAGTGCGGTGCTTCCTGCTGCCTAGAAGTTGATGGAAGATAAATCTTTAAATGTTTCTACTGGTTATTACTCTCTCTGCTGAGGTCTATGAATTTTAGTGTTAATTAGGAAAATGTGAGTTCAAGCCTTAATTAAAATTGTGTTAAGTATATATAAAGATATTAAGGAAGAAAGCAGCTTTTAAACCTGTTTTACAACTTGTTACTTTATCTGAGATATTAAATGTTTCTAATATTAATTTACTGAAGGCTGCTGGGCAGCTACTGAAGATTAAGGATAAAATAGAAAATGTTTGTTTTGACTGTGATGACAGATGACACTGTGAAAAACAATGTATTTATGGACTTTATCACTTCAAATTGCCTTAATTTGGTGAATATTTACATAACCTAAAGATTTTCTCCTTCTTAGAGAACTAACACAACCAGAGCGAAAAAAATCACTGTGTTTTTTCTCCTGATGCAGGTAAAATGTTCAAATCTTTGGACCTTTCGCTCATAGTGGAGTTTATGCTGATGTTCTACAAAGACAAACCCATCGACTGGCTGCTTGACCACATCATGTGGGTCAAAGTGTGCAACCCAGAGAAGGATGCTGTGAGTTGCTTCATATGTTATCCTGCTTTGCTTTAATGTGTTGTTATCTTCTGAGGTTTTTGATTAATCATTTTTTAGGATTTTCTAGACTGAAATTTAAAGGAAAACCCATTAGAAAGCCTGAGGAACTATTAACCTGGGCTGCTTTCTGCTTTCTCTGTCTCCTTCAGAAACACTGCGACAGGCAGAAAGCAAACCTGAGGATCCGATTCAAGCCATCGCTCTTCCAGCATGTCGGCACTCACTCGTCTCTGGCCGGAAAGATACAGAAGCTGAAGGTAACTCCTCTCCCTGCTTGGAGCTGGTTCTGTCTGAGGCTTGCTGTCTCTAAGATCAGAGGGAAAATGACATCACTAATCCAACATCATGAGACACAAATAATCTGCTTTAAATCTGCATGATTTAACAAACAGAAAAAAAGACTTGGCAGAAATCGCGTCCATGAGAAGGTTCTAAGGCTAGAACCACTGCTTTCCCAAAAAAAACTCAAAGATCTGTCTTATATTTACCAACAAATATGTTTTCTGAAAGATCCTAATCTATAGAAATAATCTATGGATTGATAAAAGGGTATTTCCTGTTACATCTAACCAAAACATTAGACCTACAGTCACACATGGTGGTAGAGTGATGGTTGGGTGTTTTAGTGTTTCAGCATCCAGACTTGCATCATCTTTTGCTATGGATTATCTTTATACAAAATCTTTACTGTTATGTTGCTGAATTGCCTCTAAAGTGTATTTCATAAAAACAAAACTGAACCAAATCACAGGAATGAAAAAGAATGGTACAGTCAGAAATGCTGGCAAAGGTTAAAGGTTTAAACGAGCCAAAGCTGCAGAGACAGACAGTTGATTGTAGAGATTTGCTGTCAGAGTGGGACCTCTGTGAGTAAAGCTGCTCTGACTGTCATTATGAAAGAAGCTGGATGGATGGATCAAAGCTTGACCTGCAGTAATGAGAGCGTTGCTCTGCTCTATGGTGCTGAAGAAGGATTAATCTGGATTTAGAACTCGTGTCTTCATCCGTTGTTAACCTATGGTCAAAAAATATCGCCACTTAAAGAACCAGCAGCAGCAGCTGGAGTAAGCTGTGAGTGTCCAGGTTCTGTTTTAAAGACCAAAAGAGGATCTTCATCCTTCAGCAGGGGCTCCAAAGAGAGCTGGTAAACTGAAAGGAGTCCTCTGAAGGTTTGCAGACATATCTAAGAAAAGACACTAGGGCAGGTATGGGAACACTTTGGAATCTGAGGTACCTGACACTGTTGTGAGGGAAGGAATGTCTGAGATTTCCTCCTCTGTGAGCCAGCTTTGGATAAACAGAAGAAGAAGGATTGAGGGATGGAGGGACCACCTTTAATGAATCCATTTTTGAACATCATCTTTATTAAGACTTGCAACTCCTCAGCTTTTCCTATCAGAGCCATCATTTTTACAGAGAGCCTCCATATGGATCATTTTCTCTCTGTATGAAGTTGATGCTGTGCACTCTTCTCATATAAAGGAGAGAGGAGGGAGAGGTTCTGTTTAAGTTAGTGCATGAAGATTGAAAGCCTCTGCAGTCGTTGGAGCTTTGGTTTCTGGCTGCAGCCCTCAGTCTCCACTCGGTGCCTCTGATTGCTGCACTAAGAGCTGTAGACGTTAACCCAGCTGGATGCTGCTGCAATCCCACCTAATCAATCTGATATTGATCTGGCCGTCACAGCCTGCTCTGTGAAGACTGGAGCACAGAGCTTACCTGCCGGGAGGACTAAACATATTCAGGTTAATGTAGGCTCTGTTAAAAACTGTATATAAATTAATAGCAAAGCATCAGTTTAGACTGATAGGAAGCTGCTTAGGGATTCCTTTACTGCAGGGAATCAACCATTCCTCTATTCAATCTCCTCTGTTTTTGATAAGGAAGCTGTAGGGACCCTGCATCTGCTGCAGATTCTGACCAGAACCCAACCTGGAACTTCCCTAATGTTTAGTTACACTGTCGAAACAAGCTGCAAGCAGAAGCTGGTCACGTCCTGCACGTTCTCCAGCCTTTCTGCATCGTCATCATTGACTAGAATGTTTAAGTGTTTTAAAGGGTATTTATTCCTCAATATTTTCCCTGTTTTCCATCTTTTTGTGTTGTATTTAGAAGTTGTAAGAGAGAGTCATTGCTTTTTCCTAATGCAAACACCCTGAATCCAAAAAACCTGAATCAAGATGCAGGCTTAGCAACTGGAAGGAAATCTGGTTGTTTTATTCAGTGTAATGCTACAACATATTCCTGCCAACTGTATTAAAAAAGAAAAGTTTAGGTCAAACGTTCAGTGTTTGTTATTGCAGCTTTATCAGATTTCCCTCTTTATAGCCATTAATCCCATGGAAGGTTTCCAGCTTTGAAACCATGCCCCGATGTGGAACTGCCTGTCTGGATTGTGTGTTTCCTCAAAAAGGAAATGATTTTAAGAGCCTTGGGCTAAATGAGAGCTGCTGCTTTTATTTTTAACAGTTCAGAGTTTCAGCATGTGCTGCTTGTCTTCTAGGATAAAGACTTCGGTAAGCAGACCCTACATAAGGGTCACGCCAACCCACAGGCAGAGGTGACGACCAGCCTGAAGACGTACCAGCACTTCACCCTGGAGAAGGCCTACGCAGGAGAGGACTTCTTCTGGGCCTTCACCCCTGTAGCCGGAGATTTCATCAGGATACGATTCTTCACGCCCGTCCGCATTGAGAGGTCCGTAGAAGCCTTGGAAATGAATGCTGGCAGAGAAGGAACTTCCTGATCGGAGTAAAAACTTTTCTGCTGCTTTCAGGTTTTTCTTCCGAAGCGGAAACATCGAGCATCCAGGAGATAAACTCTTCAACACGTCAGTGGAGGTTCTACCATTTGACGTAAGTCCGTAACTTCTGAAAACATCTCAAAAGTCCACACCATGTTGGATGGCTGTCTCACATATCTGATTTTCCTCTGTGGAGCTCATGTGTTCTAAACGTTAGATAAATACCTTTATTTTTGTTTTTTAAAAAGTAAAAAAAAGAAAATTAGAATAGACTATAATAGAAAATCCCTGTTATTTAGTCCCACAATAGGGACATTCTGGTATTTACAGCAGGAAAAAGAATGGTCACACAAATGTGGACCTTAGCAAAGTGTATAAGAATAAAGTAATAGTAGAGAGTTAAAAAATAAACAAATGAAATACTGTACTGTAGAGTGTTTTAACAAAATAAGACTGTGCACTTGGAGAATAAATATGCAATTTACAGCTATGGACATTTTTACAGTAATGGATATTTGAAAATAGCAGCAACATCAGAGATGTGCAAAATGACAGCAGCATGTTATTTAACTGACTAAGACAGAAACTGCAAAACTAAAATCCCATTTTACAAGGATTTATCTGACTGTATCCGAAAAAGTAATAGTCTAAAGCCCCAAGGCTTATATCTGCCCATCCTTTACTATTGAAGAAATATGTTTGTTTCTAGACTTACTTAGACTAATTTTAGCAGTCTTTGTACTATTGGAAAAACAACTGGTTGGAGGTTTCTTCCTGTTAAAAGGGGGTTTTTCCTCTCCATTGTCACTACAAGCATGCTTGGTGTGAGGGATTGCTGAGGAGTCAAAGAGTCAATGCAATAGGTTTTCTGTAAAGTGCCTTTAAATGACGTGTTTTAAATTGGCACTATATAAATAAATTGTGAATTGAATTTGTTCTGCTAGTTTTGGACCAACAAATACAAAGAATTGATTGAATTTATTAACAATTTAATTCATATTGTTTTATTACCATATAATTTTCAAAGTACAGTTTTTTTAATTAAAGTGTGAGGCTTTCATGCACATTGTCTGCAACAGCTGATATGTTTTCCACTCCTTTATACTCTTAATTGGAATCCACATACATGACTACTCCACCATCTTTTTTTTTTTTTTATAATCTCCGCCCTGATCACTGTTTAACCACGTTTTGGATATTAAAAAAATATTGGAGGGGTTTGTGATCTGATTTAAGCAATCCTTAATCTTATGAAAGTTAGCATACAGACTTCTCCCGGTAAAATGAATAATTGATTTTCTGTTTTCAGTTGCTAAGGTATTATGAAACTGATCAACTTTATAAAATTGACAGCCATTGTTGATATGCTGGAGAAAATAATTTTCTGGGTCAGTGTCATTTCCAAAGTCATGTAGCTCATCAGTAGCATATAGCAAGGTGTTAACTTCCTGATAATCAACCTCAGGGTTAGGTTTAAACATATGTTTTATTATCTGCTTACAGGTCACCAAATTATTTTTTGTGTAAATTGGAGACTAGTTTGATTTCTTGTATCTCCTTAGTTAGAATGTCCAGCCGACAGTTTGTGGGATCCACAAGGATTCCAACAAATCCTTTAAGTGTCTTGTTGTTGTTGAAGTAAAGTCATGAATATATCCTTTTGCTGCTGCAGCAACTCAGTAACATGACTGAGTCAGTTCATTGCCCAGTTTCCAGTCGGCTTTAGGTTCTTTTGGAGGAATCTTATGATTTTTTTTTGTGCCCTGTTGTGTCTGACCTTCCTGGTATGTTGCTAGCAGCTCCTGAGCTGGGGCGGTTCTTAAAGCTAGAAGTGGTTCGCTATAGGTCTGTGCCTTGTGGCTGAGCCTGCTGCGCGGCCTGGCGGTGCTGCCTGCTGCCCGGCCTGGCGGTGAAGCCTGCTGCCCGGCCCGGACGTAGAGGCTGCCGCCCGGCCTGGAGGTGGAGGCTGCCGCCTGGCCTGGGGCCTGCTGCCTGGCCTGGAGGTGGAGGCTGCTGCCCGGCCTGGAGGTGGCGGCTGCTGCCCGGCCTGGAGGTGGAGGCTGCTGCCCAGCCTGGAGGTGGAGGCTGCCGCCCGACCTTAAGGTGGAGGCTGCTGCCCGGCCTGGAGGTGGCGGCTGCTGCCCGGCCTGGAGGTGGAGGCTGCTGCCCAGCCTGGAGGTGGAGGCTGCCGCCCGACCTTAAGGTGGAGGCTGCTGCCCGGCCTGGAGGTGGCGGCTGCTGCCCGGCCTGGAGGTGGAGGCTGCTGCCCGGCCTGGAGGTGGCGGCTGCCGCCCGACCTTAAGGTGGAGGCTGCTGCCTGGCCTGGAGGTGGAGGCTGCCGCCCGG